GGGGGGGCTAATGTCACAACAAAATCCACGAGCACTCTAATGTCAGGTATTTTCACGCATTTTTCTGAGCGCAAAAAATCAGTGAAAGTGTGGGTACTTTTTCTGTTGGCCCACACATGGCAAGGTAAATGGAAAATGTGCCAAATCGGCGGGGTGATTATTTCGTGACCACGACCTAATCTACAGATTTTCAAATTTTCAGAGTTTTCTGTGAGTTCCTCCGAGCACAAAAAATCGCCAAAGTTGCCTCTTGCACGGGATGCCTGTCTCTTTGCGCCTTCCCGCGTCCTCCAAGCGTTGACCTCCCTGTTTTGGGTCGGAGGGCCCTTTTGCAGTTCACATGCAAGGGGGGACCGGCCCTCCAATTTTGCTACCGCACCAGTTATATGCGCAATAGCTGTAGATAGTCCATAAAAACGCCATGGACTGTTCCCCCAACAACTTTCACCCCGTTGCAACCCAGTCTTGCGCCGGTCCCACCGCTGAATATATTCACCTTGACACAGAAGCGGAAGCCTACTATCCCGCAGCCTCAGGGTTGCACGCAAGCTATATTTCCCCTGAGGTACAGCCAAAATGAGGGTGCGTTGTGTTTGGGGGAAGATGGTAGTGGGACTTCGCCCCGCTACGCTACCGAGTAGCTGAGTGGGAAACCGAAATCCGGTTGAGCGGATATGGCTTACTTGTGCAGCGCCAACTTCCTATTGCAGGACCGCTGGACGGCGCTACCAGATGCACGCCGATTGGTGCACTCGTCGGTGCGAGCCCTGGCCAGTGGATTGGGCCGCTACTATTACTCTCCCGGACGACTCTCGATTCCTCGAGATCGCTCGTCAACCAATTACGCGCGCGGAGATTCGTCGAGTCGTTCGAGCAATCCTTGACGTTGTTGAGCCTAGGGGCCAACCGACGCTGCGAAGGGACCCAAGAACAACACGGACGCCAACGATCTTTTTAGGCGGGGAGAGAGGGGAGGTAAGTTGGCTGGCAGGTGATCAGGAGCGGACAGACGTGTGTTGGCAGTACCTGTGGTCTCTGCGCGCGCAGCTTGGCCGCTGGAAGTCCGCAGCGGGCAGCTAAGCGCAGCCGACATCGCCGTAGAGGCAGAGCCATCTCCACCGGCACATCCTCAGCAATGGCCGCCGCTGCTGCTGCTGCTGCGACCGCTTCCAACATGGCTGCGGCCATCAGGCCCCTGGCGGCGGCCTGTTCGTCGACCTCAACGTCAGCGTCCACCTCGAACTCAGCCTTTGTGACCGGAAACCGGGAGCTTCGATCTGTTGCCGGCCCGGGCTTCGCCATGTCCAACGGTTCCAAGTTGGTGATGAAAGCAGCCGGGACGAGAAGGGTGACGGCCAGGGGCCCCTACGAGAAGAAGTCGTGGCTTCCAATCGTGAAAAACAACCCCATTGTCGACCCCGAATGGCTCGATGCCAGGTCTGCCTCCCAACCTCGACCCCATGCTCCTGTCAGCTCCATCCCCCCTCCTCTTCTTCTTCGTTCCGCGGCGAACGGGTGGCTGCAAAATTTCAAGCGAGCCCCTCCCACTCTGCGGAAAGCTTTCACAGAGCGCGCGCGCGCGAACATCCACATCACACACACACACACGCACACGCGCACGCACACTGACTCGCGTGCTTGGAGCGGGATAACGCACCCACGCCCGGGGTGACTGAAAAATTTCAAGGTCGCCCGCCCTTCTTTGCTCGCGCACACCCACCCATAGTCACATGCCCACGCACTTCCTCGCGCACATCCACACGCCAACGCACACAGGGACGCACGTCCTTCGAGCGGAGGCTGCACATCTCCAGACTGCGGCGTTCCGTTCCGGAGCTCGCAGGGTACACACGAAAGCAGACTTTTTTTTTCTTTTTTTCTTTTTGGGGATTTTTTTCCTTTTCGCAAGCACACGTACACCCACAAATGAAAGAAAAGAAGAAGGAAAGAAAAACGAAAGCTTGCCATTTGCTGCGGTCAGACTACATTTAGAAAAGTGCTTGTGTGAGTATGCCCTCAGAGTGTTAGGAATTGTTGTTCGGGGAAAAGGAGAAAGGAAAATGTGACCGTTGTCGTTTTTCTCGTGCTTTTGTCACCAGCAGCGGGCTTCAACCTCCCAACGTCTCTGGTTGCTGGGGATGGGGCTTCCCACTCCAAGCTTGCACTCACTAAGTTATTATGTCTAACATACTTATCAAGTTATTATCAAACATAACGGACCGTAACGTAACGAAATGAAGAGGCACCAAATGCAATGGAACGTAACGCAATGCGGCACGATAGAGCGAGCGCGAATTCGTGCTCAAGTTCAGTCTGTTGCCGCAACGGCATTTATGCAAGCACAACAACATAAATGTGGCTTTCCTTCGGTTCTACGACCTGTCTTTGTTTTTCCTCCGTGTTTTGGTTTTACCTTTTTCATCCCCCCTCCCCCTTCCTGGCCCCC